TAACACTTTCCAACTCTTAAGGGGTTGTGTGAGTTTCATCGAGCAAAAATGGGCATATTTCCGATATATTTAAATTTCGTATAAAAATGTAAATATATTATATACTCAGGCTTCTCATTATTCCAAAGATACATATATGACAAATATATAAAATATATTTAAAACTGAAACGTAAAACCATTACGAAGTATTTTGGAGAGGCCCTCGGAAAAAAGGTGCATCCACGGTGCATTCTTTAACTTTGTTTTAATTAAATGCGAAAAAAGTAAAAATTTGTAGACGAAGAAAAGAGAGCAGTCTATATGCCATAGGAGGATGTGCAACAATTAAGGTATTGCTGTCTTTTAGCGAAATGATTAGCAAATTTCGGGCCTAGACTTAGATGTGAATAATGAAAATAGTAAGTGTAAACTCTTGAATAAAATATTATTTGGTGAAATTAAAATAATATTTGTTTTAGATTTCACTCAAATGATGGGCCTGATAAACTTTTTGAAAATGAATAACCGTCGTACAGCTGGCAAAAATATGAGCCCGAAAAATTAAAGAAGCCAATACTGTAACAAAATTAATAAAGCGATATCCAGAGAGAAGCTACCCGAAGTGATGTGAAAATACAAGATGCGTTCCAAAGACAACAGGATCTTTTTGAATCTAGCGTTTGTGGCGCCATCTACATTTTGATTAGTGCGTTAGAATTTGCTATCTTTACCAATTACTTAGTGAGAATTTCATGACATTTCTTCGATTCAACATTAAATTTGGTATTAAAATTGGTAAAACTTTTACCGAAACGTTTCAATTGATGAAACAAGTTTATGGCGATGATTGCCTACAACATGTGGGCCAATCAAAATCGGTGATAACCGGCAATTACATCAAAACTATGCGTGAATTCCTTAAAAATCAGCCGACATCATTATTGAAATTCGTGTTAATGGAATTGAACATCTCAAAAACATCGATTTATCGCATTTTGATCGAACATTTGGGCTTACTAAAGATGTGTGCACGATTGATTCTGCACAAACTGACTGACGGACCAAAAATCGTCTCATCGAGGGACGCAAAAATCGCATTTTAACCATTAACCACCCTCGTATTCACCTGATATGGCACCGTGCGACTTCTTCCTTTTCGGACAAATGCAATTGCTCATGAAAGGAAGCGTTATACAGACTTGCTAAAACACTTATTTTGCCGAAATAACCATTTGTTCTGTGTTTTTTTTTTTTTTTTTTAAGCCCTGTACTTTGGAAAGCACCATAATCTCACCCGGGGAATGTGTTTTTATATGTGTGCAGTCCATAGCTGCAATTACAGCTGGGAATTTCGAATTCGGAAAATTCTTATTTAAGAGTGTTCAGCTCATTTCGATTTTTCGGAAAATTAATATATTTATTTCGCAAAAATGCAATATCATGTGATATTACTCCGACAACTCTTCATACTATGGCTTATTTTACACCAAGGATATCTCCATTCATACGTATAGTATAAATTTATCAAATTTATATTATCCTTGTCGTATACGTTCACTTTTTTGCACAGTCAAAACCAGTTCCGAAACTTTACGGGATCATACATTTGGAAAGTTTAGACGATTACTAATTTTTTATTGCCGGCGATTTATTATTATATTTTAAATGTCCTAAACGCCGACCTCACTTTTAATATCAGATTAAATATTATATTCGCAAGACATAAAATTATCAGTGAAAGTAATTGCCGATCATACTTTCACAGAATCAGTTGTTATTTGATTGGTAGTTAACCAACATAGATTGGGGGTTTAACTAATATCTGTTTTTATTAACAAAGCAATGTTAGTTAAACGTGGTTGGTTAAACCATTGGTATTGGTTGACTGATAACTGTGAATTCGTTATTAAATCAAGGCACAGGTACATAGTTAATATTTAGTTAAATATTAAAAAAAGCGTAGATACTAGAAATAAAAGCTTGCACAGCGATTTAATATCTATTTTGCCTTCACGTCGATTATAAGTTCTACTGATATTAATACTGGCGACCCACCACCCACCAGGCGACACTACTAGATTCAAGAACACATTTTTTTACTCTGTGTATATACTACTTCGACTACTTTAGGATGGAGTCATGTGTAGAAGTTCGCGTAAGTGAGGAAAGTTCTCTGATCGCCATTCACTTTTGAGTGGCCAAAATCGATTCTCTTACATATGACTCAAGCAGCTCACGACCTCCGGTCTTTGACCAAGTATCTCCTGGGTAGCCTAAGAACATCCGTTTGAAGGCGAGCTAAAGTGAGAAGGCCAAATATCCCCTACATGGGGTTGTGCGCTGGGTCTGGGATGATATTGATATCATCGGCCTCAACACTCGCACCGTTAATTCTGCTTTCTCCAGACTGGACAAGGAAGCAAAACAAATAGGCCTGGCAGTGAACGAGGGCAAGACGAAATATCTCCTGTCATCAAACAAACAATCGTCGCACTCGCGACTTTACTCTAACGTCACTGTTGACAGTCATAACTTTGAAGTCGTAGATTATTTCGTCTATCTTGGAACCAGCGTAAACACCAATCAATATCAGCCTGGAAATCCAACGCAGGATAACTCTTGCCAACTAGCAGCTGAGGACTGCCAACTAGGACTGAGAAGGCAATTGAGAAGCAAAGTNCTCTCTCGACAAACAAAAACCAAACTYTATAAGTCACTCATAATWCCCGTCCTGCTATATGGTGCAGAGGCTTGGACGATGACAACAACTGATGAGTCGACGTTGCGAGTTTTCGAGAGAAAAGTTCTGCGAAAGATTTATGGTCCTTTGCGCGTTGGCCACGGCGAATATCGCATTCGATGGAACGATGAGCTGTACGAAATATATGACAACATTGACATAGTTCAGCGAATTAAAAGACAGCGGCTACGCTGGCTAGGTTATGTTGTCCGAATGGACGAAAACACTCCAGCTCTGAAAGTATTCGACCTGTCTCTTATACACATCTAGATGTGTATAAGAGACAGGATTTATGGTCCTTTGCGCGTTGGCCACGGCGAATATCGCATTCGATGGAACGATGAGCTGTACGAAATATATGACAACATTGACATAGTTCAGCGAATTAAAAGACAGCGGCTACGCTGGCTAGGTTATGTTGTCCGAATGGACGAAAACACTCCAGCTCTGAAAGTATTCGACGCAGTACCCGTCGGGAGAATCAGAGGAAGAGGAAGACCTCCATTCCGTTGGAAATACCAGGTGGAGAAGGACCTGGCTACGCTTGGAATAGCTCCGTAGCGAAGCGAAGAAACGACTGGCGCGCTGTTGTTAACTCGGCTATAATCGAGTAAGCGGTGTGTACGCCAATTAAGAAGAAGATATATGCTACTTCAATGTATTGTTAATGTACATCTATCACACATGAAACTTCTGCAATCCTTAAGCCGTTCAGATACTTTCAAGGGTTTTTCAAATTAAACGCTACAAAGGTAGACGGTAGAGGTAGACCAACAATTGAGCGTATAGTGGAAAATATTCCCGTTTCCGTGAGGCAAGAAGTGCCCGTAGTGTTGAGAAAGACCCAAATTAGTCTCTCACACTTCGTTCTCAAGCACTGGGAATCTCCGTGACGTCGGTTTGGCGGATATTGTCAAAAGATCTTGGCCTACATACTAACAAGATCGAATTGACGCAAGAAGCCGCTTGACCTCTAGACTCTTCGTATGTTCGTAAACTGACACTCTTTGTTTCCAGGTTTTGGCGAATTTATTGAAAAATATTGTAAATTCAGACAGCAATGCCAGTTGACGACGAACTTCATATAATGATAATTGTATATGCTGTTAGGAGACGGAAGAAGAGGAGATAATAAAACAAATTCTATACGAATACGAGATTTATATATAGGAAAAGTATCGCAACTACGGTATCGGTCGTGTGTTTCTTGGCGACATCTCAAAAGCTGTACAAATAAAACGTTTCGTACTGAGTAACTCCATAGGAAGTACGGAAGTGTGATGTATAATTTAAATGAAATCTATTTATAGAACATTTTGTCAGTTTTAATTCCCTTTTTCAATAATTAAAGTAAATCAAGGGAATCTTCATATTCAGAAAAAATTGGGCAAAAATCTAAACTGAAGTAATTATCTGCATAATTATTTTTCGTTACAAATGAATGAGAGACACAAAAGCAAACCGCAACTATAGCTTGGAATGTATGATTTATATCAATTTGTAGTCAAAATATTTCGTATAACGTTTGTTTTTATGTATTATTTTCTCTAACTGAAATTGAGTGGCGATTACAAGCAAGAATGGCCTACAATAGAAACAGAAATTTGTTTGTTAGTAAAAGTGTGCAGTTTTGCCTCATAAATTATTGTATTAATTAATTCGATATACTCGTTGTACCATTCAGCAATATCACATTAAATTTCAAAAATCCTTTCAAAAGATTATGGCATCCGGTTGAATTTGCTTTCTAGGCGGCGGCGTATGAGTAACATTTCTTACGAGAATTCACAAATTAAATTCAACCAATTTGCAGTATTTTAGTTGTAAACAATTAATGAATACACAATTTCTTTTACCAATTCAGACACTTACACCCACACAGTGAAGGATTTTTATTTATTGAACCTTTTATATATACAACAGCGCTCCATTAATGGAGCTCTGGTTTGATGATGGTTTAATGTTTACTCAACAATAAAGCTTCATTTACATTAATACATAAATTTAGCGATGCATAAGCAAATTTATGTTCGCTGTAGTAGGAGACTTGACAAATTACTATCTATCATAAATATACAGTTCACGCATTTGGCATGAACAAAGTGAGTGAATGCTGTCAGTGGGTTAACGGCTTGTGAAAATTTATTTCTTACTTGCCACTACGTAACTGTTAATGTATACATATATATATCAAAAATTGTAGTAAATATATATGTATATATTTGTACGCACTTTTTAATATTTTACGTAGTATTTTTGTTTAAGCATTTCGTACTTACCATCATGTGAGTCGTAGAGATAAATTATTTTACGCCATCCATAAAATTGTATTGTGTCGATAATCGCCTGATGATAATCCGGGCGCATACTTATGGCATAGTCGAGGAAGCCAGATGAGGGCGTCAGCACCTAGCAGGAGCGTGCAAGCGTATACGAATTGACGGCACAGTAAAATTGGGATTGCAAAAAAGAAACAAAAAGCAAATTGTGGTGTGAATTGAAATCGTGACTGTGGCGAGTGTCGAGTACAAGCAAAAAAGGCAGTCGTTGGCGCAGAAAAGTTGTGACAGCAGTGTGAGTAAGCAACGGCGCCGAGGGTGGAAGTTGTGTGAGAGTGAATCTGCCGCCGCACAACTATAGCGCTATTACGCATACACACTTATAAAATGTAATTTTTTGCGGATATTTTATACATATTTACTATTTATCTTGTTTCTTGGAAAAAAAGTTATTTTTTATGTTTCAGTTGCCTCATTGCTTTACTTTTGTCGAATGATTTATGTTGATTGTAATAACAGTGGTTTAACGCCGGAGTAGTAGCCTGGTGTGTTTGTGCCATGACGATATTTCTGAATTCGAAATGTTGTGAGAACTGCGCTGCTATGAAATATCAAAGGTTAAGGAATTAGCTAATGCAAATGTCAGCTGTCTTTCAGCGTGACGAACTTCGCTGTATAAGATTTCCCTAACAATCAAAGCCTTAGTTATAAAGACTTGCAGAGCTCTCATCACAAACTCGAAAACATTTCATACAATCTGTGCATGTAGTGGCGTTCACAGTAAGCTGTTAGTAAATATTTATGTAATTGCTGCTATAAGCATGGCGTCTGCCTACAGCTGTACCAAAGCCCCCACGGACCAATACTACTTCTGCAGTTAAAGCAGCCATTGGTGTTGACGCGGGTGTACAACTGAGGTTTTCGACACTACGCAATATTATATGCTCTTTAAACATGTTACTGGTTCGTTAGGTTTCAGACTCTTTAGCAGGGGTGTTGCTGTTCTGTTTGTATAAAACGAAGTAAAAGCTAAATTTATTATGATTTGTGTGCTGCGTACAGTTTTGGACATTTATAACTTTATTAAGAATTACATAAATTTTCGGCAACGGCTTATTGCTACCGCAGGCCTTTGTCCACACTTTTTTGATGCTTACAACATAGTTCCTGGCGCTTTGTGTGCTGTTGTTTTTCAAGACGGACACGGTCCACTCCGCCAAATGGAGACATCTTTATTGTTTTAGTTAAAATCTGCGTTATTACCACTGAGGCGTATGATTTACATTTAATAAAAATATGATTAAATAAAATTTATGAGCACAACATAAATCTTATGCAATAAAACAGCACATTATGAAGCATATTCGAATTTAAGGCGAAATAAAGTGAGCAGATGTTGAACAAATGTTCCGCGCAGATAAATCTTTTTTGGATTTTCATTTATAACTCGATACCTAGGGACATTATTACATTAAGCTCAGTTTCACTTTGTCAGTTTGTCAGTTTGACAACTGGAAGGTTAATAATAATGTGTTGAACATGTCTCTGAAACTTTAATTTCTGAATGGCAGTACTTTCTACGTCTATTTTTGGTTCCCGTTGTTTGAAGAGAAAATTTTTTAAAAATATCTACAATTATATCTTAAATGTTTTAGTCATTGGCATTGATTAATTACGCGTAAAAACAAAATAATTTGTAGTTAATTTGTATTAGCTAAGACATCTTACTAACACTTGGTATTAATATCATCCATCAGAAATAAGTTCAATAAAGACAACCTGACCAGCAGCTAATCCAACTGTATTCCAAAAATAGTAAGATCTTTTTATTTAAATCAATCGATCAAATAACGTTGCAATTTGAGCGGAAGCCGAAAAGACTATGTGAAAGCAGGTCGAAAATCAAGGTTATGTTGGCAGTTTTCATGGATTATCTAGATTTCTGGGTATTCAGCAAACTCAAACCACCGCTCCGGGAACCATTGAGGGATATTCTGGAAATTGACGTTAACCATTGTTTCGAGGATTGAAAAAAATGTTGGAACATATATGTGTTGGGGCAAAGGGTGACTACTTTGAGGGGTGGGATATAGATTTTGAAGAATAAATTAATAATTTTAAAATAATGAAGAAAGTCTCTTTGCTTGAATATAAATGGGATAGAAAATTGCTTGGATATACAAGAGAATATAATTAAGTTAGGCAAATTAATCTCAATTGCATGTAGCGACAGAAACTGCGAACAAACTTAACCCACTTTTTATATCATAATAAGACAGAAAATTTATGTTGGCCAAGCTATCACACTGGCTGACCAACAAATAGAAACCAAGATCAATCAAAAAAGAGAAGAAAGAACGGAAAGATGTTATTATATTTGGAAATTGAAGGTCTGGATTGATATCATTGATTTTTGATACTAAATATTATTTTATAAGAGGGGTGGAACTTCCCAGAGGGATAACTTCCAAAATCAATGTTTTCAAATTAAAAAAAAAAACGCATAGATCGTTTCAAAAAACTCAGCCATTTAGCACCACTTTGCCTACAGAAGTAAGTATACATTTTAACTGACACATTTTTATAAGGTACAGTATTGAAATAATTCCATGAGGCTCATTCACGAATTCAGAAAAGTTTGTGCATTTCGATTGTGCATTTCCTTCAGCAACTATTTGTATAACTAAAACAGAAAACCTGACCGCTCAACGGTTAACATCCAGCAGAAAACGTATTACTAGTACTTCTTAGCCACGTTTTTTTATATAAAGAATTGACAAGTGAAACTAAAGTCACTTAAAAATGACAAAAAAAAAATGTTTTCTGTACGGTAGGTGAATGCTATAGTGATGAATATAGATAATATGTTCTTAGATAATCCCTTCATTTAGATTGGTGAGGTTATACGAAGTGCGTTCATTAAACAAAAGGAGATTTGCTAATTTTTCTAAATTTATCTATATGCGTTGAAGTCTTCAAAATAGTCCCCAGCGATATATTGCAGCGCTTATTCTGAGCGTCGAAACACTTCTAGAACTCAAGAAGGGGTATAGTCCCTAGAGCTTAGAGCGATGCGCTTTTAATGTTATCTATGATAGTATCGCCTTTTAAGGCTCTCCTCATTTTCGGAAATAGAAAAAAGTCAAGCAGCTGCTTAAAACAAAGTAAGAAATGAATGCAGGTAAAATTTGGGATGAAAAAAAAAATTGGGTTCCAGCACACACTTTAGTCACTTATATGCTGCAATAGCCTGATCTAAACAGTTTGTTAACTTGAACAATAATCCACACACAATTTTCTGAAAATAATTTGTCAAATAAAAGTTTTCCTTCCTTACAAGAGCTTGATTCTAATCATTGAGTTTGTATGACAGCTTTATGCTACATTTATCCTATATCGGCGGTTACGACAAATGAGCAGATCCTTAAATCTAAAGAATGTGTGAAAAGTTTCATATCGATATCTCAAAAACTGAGAGACTAGTTTTTGCATATACAGCCAATCAGACAAAGCTTAATCTACACAGCTGGCCACGCTGATCATTTGTAATTATATATGTTCTATAAGGTCTCCTAAGCTTCCTTTTAGATATTGCCACCGTCGTTGATGATAAAAAAAAAAAAAAAAATAAACAGGATGTAATTTAATAAAGCGGATCTTATTTTATTGTTTTTTTAACCATATGCTTCTAAAAGTATTTCAATGAAATGAAGTGTGAAGTGAAAATACATACTATCAATTGATTTGTATTTGTTTTAAATTGTGTACAGTGGCATGCGTTTAAATGTGCTTTTATTGAGTTTAAACGAGTGAGAAACTGATTTAAATCTAAATCGTAAAACCCTTTGTTATAGTGGCACTTGTTATTTTAACGCCATGAGTGGAAAATTTGGGTTTGCAGTTTGTGTTTAAATATATATGAATAGGTATGTTTAAATATACATATATAACTGTTTATATAAAAACAAATATTCGTATCATATTGTGCAAATTTCGCTACTAGTTTTTGTTGCACTCAACCACTCGAGCAACTGCACACTTAACACATTTCGGTAGCGACAATATGCCGCAAAAAATCCGCTGCTCGTATAAAACTGCAACAAATACAAAACCCTCAACACAAAGCAGCGCGAAAAGTAAAAAACAACAAAAGAAACGAAAAAACAATAGCAGCAAGTCAAGTGCGTTGGAAAAATGGCACAGCGGCAGCTGCAGTGCTTGACTATCGATATTTTCACGAAAATACCACGTTTATTATTTATCTGTGTGCGCACACACATACACGAGTGCGCAAATGTGTTAGTGTTTGCTTAAGTGTTAAAAAGTTAGTATGCACAGTGCTGTCACACTTTTTTCCCATTTCAAATATTCGCGCTCGCACAGAATTTTTTGCTTTGCACATTTGCATTGTTTATGTATTTCTATGCACTTTTATTTATTTTTATTATTTCATAGTTTGCTTTTTCTATTTTTTTGTTTGCCTTATGTAATATAACTGGTATGGAATTCCGGCTTACTTTCTCTGGAAACCATGGCGTCACGAATGGCATTTGAAACGTATTGCTGTACGAGTGCAATGTATCAAATGAATCCGGTGATACAGCGCCCAACATGGAATAAACGCCACGCGAAAATTGATTGCATACTGTGAGGCGCATACGCGTGCATACCAAAACGTGTTGACGCGTTTGTTGTGTCACGTTGTGTTGCAGCATTAAATATGAGAATAGAAGAAAAACAAACGCACATAATTAAAAATTGTTTTTGTATCTTTGCAGATATGTGTGTATATGCTTGTGTGAGAGTGAATGTTGTTAAGTATGTTGCGTAAATGCATGTGAATGGGGATTTTGCTGTTTAAATCTGGAAAATGTGCATAATTAATCAGCACCACATTGACAGCAGTAGGAATTGTAGCAGCAGTGGCAGCGATAGCATTGACAGCCGCAGCGCGCTTGCGGCAATCAACCAGCGAATGGCACACATTCGCTTGCGCGTGCGCTTGCCACAGCCACAGTTGCCGCACAAGGCCACCATACTGCAGTCACGTGATCTACTTAAATATGTATTATACATCGATGAGTGTGTTTTTGTGTGAGTGAGTATGCATGTTTGAGTAGAATTTTCGCCTCGACGTACTTAAGCGTGACAATTTAAATGCATCCGCCGTATTGATGACATCCACGTATGCTTGCAGCTCGAAACGGCGTGACGATACGTTGAGATTGTGATTGAGCATTGCGTATTTAAACGCAGATTGCACCTCATCGGTGCCTTGCTCGAATATGGCGCCTGAAAAATAGAGAAGGGAACAAATTTAATATTTTTCTTAAGAATATGCTACAAATTTTTAACATTTCATATTACGAAAATTTTTAATTAATATTTGAAGTGAACTAGAAACAATTATATATATTCAGTGTATTATCTTAAAAAATAGGTATTTTTTGAAGGGTTAGAGTTTCTATAAATTAATTTGAAATTCTTTCTTGAGGGAAATCAATTAAAAAATAGAGAACTACATTAAAAAGGTAACTTTGTGATAGGTAAATGGAACATGTATGTATATATATAATTAAAGATTAAGAATCTTTAATGATTGTGTGAGTACTTAATTGCACTCCATATCCAGAATTTTAAATCGAAGGGGCAAACGCTGTTTGAAAGCTTCTATACTCTTAAACCTGAATAGGGTTTATTAACTTTCCAAGAAGTTTATAACACCCAAAACGTGTCGGAGACTCTGTAAAGTATATAAATAAATGATCAGTATGTTCAGCTGAGTCGATTTGGCCATGTCCGTCTGTCTGTCAGTACATATATGAACTAGTCCTTCAGCTTTTTAGATATCGTTTTGAAATTTTGCAAATGTCACTTTCTCTTCAATAAGCTGCTCATTTGTCGGAACTGCTGATATCGCACCTTTATAACATATACCTGCCATAGAAACTGAACGATCGGAATCAAATGATTCCATGGCAAACTTCCTCATTTAATGATATATCTTCACGAAATTTGGTATGAGTTATTGTCGATAGAAACGTAATATCGGAAGAAATTGTTCATATCGGTTAATACATTTGTACTTTTGAGCACTCCTAGCATTAATTTGATGAGCATTAATTTGATGAGCAACTTTTTTTATTCGAGTACGCAAAAGATAAACTAAGGTGTCACCGTTTCTCGATATCTGAAAGATGCTCGATGTGTTCAGACCGAATATTTAGGAATTACGCAGATCGGAGCGGCAAAAATTTAGATAATTTATTCAAACGCATTCACAATTGAATAGATCTTTTTGGAGAATATTTTCAAAAAACAAAGTAGACGATTTTCGATTACTTATACTTGTCTTTGTTCAGTAATCCTGAAATATAAAACGCAGCCTTCGTACATTCATTATTTTAATAAAGTTATAATAATATAACGTTCTGTTCCGAGTGATTTTTTAAAAAATTGTATATAAACAATGAAAATATCAATATAAAAATAGACTGAATATATTCTCACTCAAAAAAAGATCTTTGTTTTACCCCACCAGCAGTAACAACTTAAAGATTCTTCTTTACAAATCAAATAGTCACAAACTAAAAATTTTTAATTTGTCTTTTCAGGGAGAGAATGCGAAGTAGAAACATTATCGAAAATTCGCGTATTTTCTTTGTGTGAGCATTAAATTAAATTGGGTGCCTCGATATCTATATGGTAGTTGAAAAAGTCTTTTCGTATTTTGTCAATAGATGTCGTTGCAGTCGTATATCTCCGGTGCTACCACTCCCATTGTGCCATAACATATAGTGTTGGATAGGTGAGATGTTAAGCTTTACTTAACAAAAAAAAAAATCGAAGAAGTTGAAAAAAGCTGTTCAAAGATGAGCGAAAATAATGAAGAAACTCGCTATATTTACGAAATTTTCGTATAAAAAAGGGAAGAGCGAGCCACCAATGAAATTTGTGAAGTTTACGGAGACGATGCTGGATTAGTTCGTGTGGCACAACAATGATTCGCTCGCTTCCGTTCTCGAAATTTCGATATTTTGATTTACACTGATGGAACAATATCTCTCGCGCAAAAATAAAAAAAAGAGGTCGACCAAAATGGTACATATTTGTTTATTAATTTATTATAAAAAATATAAAAAAAAAAATAAATCGAAGTTTGATTAGCAATACGAAAAAACATTTTCCGACTACTCAATATATCGAATAACAAAACGTCGATTCAATATACATATAATATAACCTCGCCTCAATGAAACGGTATAAGGACTAGTTCAATAAAATCATCCACAACGCACGAAGATACAAAAGTCGGACGAATAAAATATATGACTGCGCATTATTAGATCGATAAGACGCCGAGATCATAGAGAGGCCTATATATAATTCTCCTCGATGTAAAGTGAAATGAACGAAACTATTTCGTTTAGAAGTATTTATAAGTAGTTTTATTCTCAAGTGAAGCTAAATATAAAAACTGAAGCAGTTTTAAAGTTTCTGAAGTTGATAAATGCTTTGCTTATTTGTCAAAATTTTATCAAACCTTCCTCCCTTGTTACATAAGCAGTTAGCTGAGCTATAATATCCTTCCTTTAATTTAATTCACACTAACATTATTAGACATCAACATAACAAAATATGACGACGAGAGAATATAATAAATCCAAACATTAAAAAATTAAGACGTACGCTGCGTATGAGTAATCCCGCAGATAAAAAAAGGCGAATATACATTTGAAATAATTAGTTATGTTAATATAAATTATGTTAATATAAGTCATTTTTTTTATGCGCTTAAGTGCATAATAAAATATTTAACACATCTAAATATTTGACTCCAAAGTTTTTAATGCGCCCATTGTTGTAAGTTGAAAAAATTATATAAACATTTATGCCACTCGTAAAAATAATATATGACTGGATATTAATACCAAAGTTTGTAAATGTGGTTAAACGACCCTTATTTGTATATTTGTTTACAAGTATAATTCAGCATGTGTGGCCTTATGTTTACAGGCACATTCTCTTGCGTGTTTTTGTGGCAGCGCGTTGTCCTAATGTGAAATATCTCAAACAGTCATTTAAGGTATTGCTTGTGCAATTAAGTTTAGAATCATAAATTCTGTTTCACGAATGATGTTTCAAAATAATTTTAAAATTACTGGATATAGCAATTTATGTATGTTTGTTTTATGCATGAGAAATGGGAATTTTTAGATAATTTATATTGCTATCATCTTTTTGAAGTAAGGAATCGTTTGAAGTATATTAGTTACATATCAGGCATTACTTTTCGTTTCTGAAATTAGGAAGAGTGTACCTATAGCTTTTAACTCGAAAATAATTGATTTACTCGTTTATACCGGCTTTATACTGATGCCCAGAGCATACTGAAATTATGGAGGGAAGATTTCTCAAGCCTGCTGATTGGCAATGAAGGAATAACAACAGGAGATAACGAACCCTATTCCCCAATCGAAGACTATGGATCAGACGTTCCGTTGCCCATGAAGAATTGCGAATAGCAATTACCCATCTGAAAAACAACGACGATAGATTGCCGGCCGAACTATTCAACTACAGCGGGCGAAGAACTGATAAGTAGAATATGTTGGGATGAAAGCATGCACAATGATTGGAATTTAAGTGTGCTCTGCTCATTCCAAAAAAGGTAAACTCCACAATCTGCGCCCACTACCACGGGATAAGTTTCCTCAACATTGCATATAAGTTTCTATTGAGGGTATTGTGTGGAAGATTAAAGCCCGCAGTCAACAGACTTTATCAGTGAGGCTTCAGGACTTCAAATCAACAACTGCCCAGATATGCACCAATCGCCAAATCTTGAAAAAAACACCTGAAAGGAGGATCGACATACATGGAACGAGCGCAAAATTACTCTTGCCAGCAGGTCTCACTTCGAACTGAGTACGCAAGTTCTCTCTCGACGAACAAAGACAAAATTCTACAAGTCACTCAGCATCGTCATCCTGCTATATGGGGCAGAGGTTTAGATGATGACAACATTTGCTGAGCCGAGTTTTCAAGAGAACAGTTCTGCGGAAGTTTTATGGTCCCCTGAGCATTAACAAAGCCGAGTACTGCAGTCACTGGTACGATAAGCTGTATGAGATATGCGACGACATTGACATAGTTCAGCGAATTAAGAGATAGTGGCTAGCTTGACTAGGTCATGTCGTCCCAATAAATAAAAACACTCCAGCTCTAAGAATATTTGACGCAGTACCCACCTCTACTCCGTTGGATAGACCTGGCTAGACTTGGCGCGCTGTTGTTAGTTCGGCTATAACCGCGTAAACGGTGTATTTGCCAATAAAGAAGAAAAAATTATACTTTCTTGAGGATTACATAAGTAATTGAACATGAATTTCGATTAAATATATTTGAATAATAACACATTTCAAAATAGTTAATTTTGTAATTATTGAAACTTTATCGTTTTTTTTCACTATTCCATATCAAAATTTTCAGAGCTCGCTATTTAACATATGAATAAAGACAATTTGACTAGAGTCAAATCTGTTCATTAAGATGTTAAATTCAAGATACCAGAATAAAAAACAATTTTTCATAAGTAAGGGTGCCCTTTAATATAATAGAGCTTTGTAATACCAGAGCGTGTGTATAATGGCGATTTTGGTGTGGTATTTTAAAGAATTTATGTATCATAAAAATAGGTAATTTAATGACAACAGCAACCGAGCTGAATTCTAACAAACGCACACTCCATAAATCCATAGCGCGCACACGCACACAAGTGCATTCCGGCAAACCGCTGGTGCACAGCAGTGGCATGACAGTGGCAACGCCTGTTGTGGCTGGAAAAGAGTTTGTGACAGCAAAAGCAGCGAAGTGAGCGAAACAGTAAAACAATTTAGTGAAATCTTCCTGCCGCGTTTGCAGCCAGTCGTTGGCTGTGAATGGCAGCTTCCGCAAGCAATGGTGGCAGCATTTGTCGGCCGATAACAAAACTTGCGCAACAACACAAACAAAGATTGTACATAAAAACAAAGAAATGTGTGCCATTTGTATTAAATTCAGTAAAATAAATAAATAAAACAGAGAAAGGCAAAAAAGAACACAAACAAAACAATATCTACTGTAATGAGTTGAAAGTAAATATGAAAACATTTTCCAGGAACGATTTGAACCCGCACAATCGTTCTTGGAAAATGTATACAGCACATACATATACGTATAGATGTTGCCGCATGTAATCACGCACGAATACATATGAACGTGCATCGACATTGTACGGGCTGATCTTGTTT